GTGATTGGAGGTTAAAAGCAATAAAGTGTGGCCCTTGTTAACGCCAACACCTGGGTCCGTCTATTTCAGAAGTGGGTGGGAAGAGATTAAATAACAGTGGTGGAGGAAAACATTGAATATTAATTTCATGAACTTTAAAATACCATGTGAATAAATCTACAGTGTTTTGGAAATTCATAGTATTACTGTATATTCCAAAGTGTCAATAGTCAACAAGGGACCACAGCGGAATATTTTAACTACAAAAATTCTCAAATGCTTTCCAGACAAGTTTACATTTCTCCTCTACATTTTCTCTTTTGCATTCTTTTTCAACAGCTCCACAGTTCATCCCAAAAGCAGTCTTGACTGCCACTAGCAAAGTTTCATCTACCACCCCTCCAAATGTAGGATATTGTGGCCAAGGGGACGAGGCGGTAGAGGCCCTCGTGGGAGTGCTGTCTCTCCCTAAAGCCAATGCAGGAATACAAACTTCTCCACCTCCGTCTCTGCCCAGGATGGTAAATCAAAGCCTAGACACCAGAGAGTTGGAAGTGAGTCTGCAAGGGTTAAGCGTGTCCACCCAAACGGAGCAGATTTTGGTGGGAAGGGAAGAATGGGGACGGTCGACGGTAGAGACGGGCTTAGGGGATATAAATACAGGATGAGATAACATACCCGGGGGTTGGGAGATGATTTGGGTACAAGACCCATGGACAGGGTTATGGGAGCAAGTAAAAGTTCCACGTGAGGAGGCCGATTATAGAAGAAGAAAAGGTTTACCCCAGCGACCATCATGCTGGGGAAAATCAGAGGCAAGGGAGTGGAGAAGGAGACTGAAAGAAGAATGAGACACAATTGCTCAGGAAGCTGAAGAACGCCGAGCATGGCGAGTGGAAGAAGCCCGCCGGATGAGATACCTACAGGACCGTGGGGAACCTACCCGGGAGAGGGATCCCCATTGTATGCAAGACATATGGTTTGCCATTGAACTAGGGTCCCCTTTGACACCTATTCAGAGCAGAATGTCTCACTGGTACTAATTAAGCACACTTATAGGAATAAATAACTAAACAGAGCTTGTTTCATGCACTAAGAATACATTAAAAATATATAAAATCAAAATCGCCTAGAGTGGTCGAAATGACTAGATAGGCGGGGTATAAATACAATAAATACAATAAATAAATAAATAAATAAAAATAAAAACACCAAAGGAAACTCCAGGATACTGTACTCGCAAAGGCACATACTCAGTTTTGGTTTCTCTGAGGTGTCAAATGCTTACAAAAAGTTATTTTATTTTATTTTGAACTATCAAATTGCTTGTTACAACTGTACACATTCCTATAAGCTTCAGGCACTTTTGTCACGGTGCATCACCTATATGTATGGTCCTTCCTGGACTGTTTTGTGCAAAGCCTAAGATCTACTGGAGTGCAATCGCTTCCCAGCAGGTTCTGACCTACTGCACCACTAAATGGGGCTTTCTCCAGCACATACACCCACTCCCTTATGCCACAGAGAGGAATTCTCAAGCTGTGGCTATATATATTTTACAGTTCTCAGACTGGTGGATGTCTCTGCAACAAAGACATCTCCATGCCACCCACTCTCCTTACATATTTTGGGCAATTTAGTCTATTAGTTTGTAAAGTAGCACAGACAAACATATATAGGATAGGGATGAGGAAACCATGACCTTCCAAATGTTGTCACACTATAATACCCATAATCCTTGTCCACTGGCCACACTGACTGGAACCCTGAACTGGTATGAACTGGAGTGGAAACATCTACCAGAGGGGTGCAGGCTTACATTCTTGACATGGAGGAGTATTTTTAGCTTTCTAACTTCTCAAAGACTGGGTGCTAAGAAAAAAGCACAAAAGGAGAAGTTGGCCACAAGGATGTAGCAGAAAATGTCTGCATCACTGTGACAGTTGAGTGGGAATTGGGGAGGAAGATGGAATCTAAGAGCAGAATCTAAGAGCAAAAAGCAAAATCTAAACTGTACTCTCCCTTATATTCCAGATGGGGAGGCTGGGAAAGGAAGTACCTCTTAGTCCTATCTAAGAGTCCAGTTTGATGAAGACTTTTGGCCGGGAGAATATCTTCAGTGCCTCTTCAATCTGTGACAGCTTCTTCTCTAGGGTGATCTGTCGGGCTCGGACACTCAGTGAGTCAATCCGCACTGGAAGTAACAGAAGCTCTTTCAACAACTGCTCCTGGCCTACCATAGAAGAGGAAAGTGAACAGGATACAGTTCAGACTCCCTATATGGCTAAAAGAAATTTCAGTCAATTCACACAAAAATGATAAACCAGAAATCTGGAGAATCCTGGCTTGCTGTAAACAAACTCCCAAACAGGTCATGTTTCATAAGCCCAAGAACAAACATGGCTTACAATTCTGGTTTATGAAGGGTGCAACCATCCAAAACTACAGATTCAGATAACCTGCTTATGATGCACAGCCAACTGCTCTAGCACTGAGCATGAAAGGTAAACTTTCATATTCCACAGTTCTACAGGAGTCACAACCTGCTTGAGAATTTTTGTTTACCATTCCATGTGGACAAGCTATGCAAATTTTGAAACAGGCTGATTAATTATGCTGCTAAATAAAATGAGTTCTTAAAGAAGAAGCTTTTCTAAGGCCCAAGGGAGGATGTGGGGTGGAAATGCCCTTTTCCAAATCATAATTCATAATTTGTAAGTAGTTATATAATACATCAAACTTTTTCCAATTAACTGAGAACACCTGCTCATCATTTAGTGATATGTCAACCAGACATCGGAATCCAAAGAGACATCATAGAAGGTCCTACAATATGTAGCTGGGAATCTGAGGTGAACTTCTGCATCAGATTTAAAGATCAAGGCCCTCAGAAGAACTAGATGAAATTGCATCAGAGCCCAAAAGCAAGAGTCCTCCTTGTAAAAATATCAACAGAAACCCACGCCAGACACCATGTGGCTGCCAACTTGCCTGGGCAGAATTCTTGGAGGTAGAGGGGGTTCCCAGATGAGGCCTAGGAGAACATGGCTAAATCAAATATCACGAGTCAATTGCTTCCTTGAAGGGAAGGCCTTGTAGGGTAGGAAGGCAAAAGACCACATGAACCTATGGCTATCTGGGGCCACACATCAGTTGTTAATATAACAAAAATAGAAACAAAGAAGTTGTTGCATCTTAAAGACTGACAGTTTTATTTCCATGTGAGCTTCTGTGGATTATGATCTCCTTCCACAGACACATCAAGGAATTATAATTATGAGAGCTCACACTGAAACATATCTGTTAGTCTTTGAGATGCAACAACTCTTTTGCTTTTTTTTACACATATAAAAATAGCTTTATATGGCTAACAGCTACCCTTCTGAAGATTTTGTTAGCTAGTTTTTGGGGGATTCTCCAGAAGCCAAGGGTTGAGAAAGAAGGCACTTACAAACTATACTATTCCCAGAGTTTCTCTTTCAATGTTTACACAAGAAGCTGCAAATAAGGTCCAGCTTCAATTCTCACTATCTCTAGTTAAATCCTTTCAAGGCTGGGAAAGACCTCTGTCCATGACCCTGAGAAGGGATTTTCTTAGGCAGCATCAAGGGCAGACTTAGAAGCAGCCTGAGATGTCCCACTTCAACACATCTTACTTTGTTTGAGGTTGCTGAGAGTTTCTAGTCGTTGGCTGTCTGCCATCATGATATGGCCTGGTGGGCTGGCAGGGTCAGGCATGTTGCGCTGCCTCTCTTCTGCTTCTTTCTGCCAGTTGTTCTTCCTCTCAATTAGACTAAAAGCAAAAACAAGAAAACAAAATAAAAAAACAGAGCACGTCAGCAGTGACAAGAGGAATATGGCTAAGGAAATCACATAGCATCCTGAGAGACTCTTCCCATCCTGCTTATAACTTTTTTGAACTGTTACCATCTGGCAGGGCAGATGCTTCTTTCTGCCAGTTGTTCTTCCTCTCAATTAGACTAAAAGCAAAAACAAGAAAACAAATAAAAAAACAGAGCAAGTCAGCAGTGACAAGAGGAATATGGCAGGGAAAGCTAGGAGGAAAGGAGAAACACTTGACTTCATTTTCTGGCCTCCGATTCCCACAAAGCCAACACAGCAGCCAGAAAGCTGCTGAAAGAAGAGATGTATACAGATCAGTAACACTGCCTGTGGGAGAGAACTTGGTCATGAAAATTATTATTATTATAATGGCAGGGAAAGCTAGGAGGAAATAATGTCTGAGGAAAGGAGAAACACTTGACTTCATTTTCTGGCCTCCGATTCCCACAAAGCCAACACAGCAGCCAGAAAGCTGCTGAAAGAAGAGATGTATACAGATCAGTAACACTGTCTGTGGGAGAGAACTTGGTCATGAATCCCACTGAGTGATAATAACTTATAACTTATCTCTCAATTCAAGCTACCGCAGCCTAACCTATCCAGACTCCCAAAAACTCTACTCAGAGACGTTGTAACAACAGAGAATCTTGGGCAATATACAAATCAAAGCCCTCTCATCATCTGCATTCTTATTTTCCAACCCTCCCCAATGCAGCTCTGACAACGATCGTATAGCTCCGTCCTTCAGATGCTGTGGGCAACAATTACAACGCAGAATCCTGAAGCACATAAAGCTGGTCCTTCAAAGGGAGTGCAGCCCTATTCAATTATGTATATATGGACTAGAAGCTTTCTCAGGAAGGTAAAGTGGGGCAGAACAGAGGCTCTCAGGTAACCAAATTCAATAGAGGACATAAAAACCCATGGTCAGATGTTAGACTTGTGCATGGGCACGATACATCCATCAATCCTTTTGACAGACAAAAGTATAGTCTTGGATATATAAAAGGATAACTCACACATCTCTGTAAACTCAGATCAGACCTACTGTATATATTTTACTGCCTCAGGCAAAGAATAAGTTGGCACTCCATCTCATTCCAACTGGGCTACCAGATAGTGGTACCTTCTTCCAACAGTGGTGATGGAATAGCATTTCTCCATCAAACCCAAATATAACAGATTAGTTTAGGAGGTATAGAAAAAGCAAGCCAGGAAACTTCTGTCTGTTCCAACATTCTCCTGATGCCTCCCAGCATCTGCCACCTGAGACAACTCCTTCACTCTGCTCAAATGTAGGTCCAGTCCTTGCTGGAAAGACACTTTCCTCATTCTAGCTACCTCCTGAATAGATGGGGAAGTTAATACATACTAGTGGGGGACATGACCCTTCTGCTTGTCATTGTATTCTTCCTGCTCCTTACGTTTCTTCTCTAGCACATTGATTAGTGATTGCAGGGAGCGCGAACGTTGTAGCTGGGCTCGTTTGGCATTTTGGGCATTGTGGCTGATGAAGTCCACCTCTTTGCTGTTTTCCTGAATCACAAGCAAGAGAAGGGTACAAAGGTAGAAGGCACAGACATTTTGAAACAGCAATTTCAGAAACATTGTTTTTCAACACAGTAAGAATGGCATAGACTGTTCAGCTAGGATTTGCAAGAGCACTTGGTCATGAACCTCACTGACAATAATTTTTTCAACCTACCTACTTCACTTAATTTTTGTAAGAATAAAACAGAAACAACAACCATATAAACTACTTTGAATCTTGAGGTCCACTCCAACACAATGCTTCTACAAACTCCTTATAGGAAAATGTGATATAAGCATACAGTGGGGTCTCGACTTACGAACAACAATGCTTCTACAAACTCCTTACAGGAAAATGTGATATAAGCATAATATTATCATTATCATGGTAGCTCTCTGGGTGATCTGAAAAAAAAGTGAGCATTTCTGATTCTTTTTCTGATTCTGGTTTACAGACAAGTCCTATTTATTTCTTGGCTACCAAATTAAGAAAGCTTGAGGAGAAAAATAAGAATACAGTAGATTGGTGTGTGCAAGCTCCAGTTCTGACAATAAATAAACACCTGCACTTCTATATTTGTTTATTTTGTAATTGTATGTTCACTATATAGGCTGTGGACCCCACAGCCCCTAGCAGAAAACAAAGCAGATCTCACAAATGTAAATGCTCCACTGGTTGTTGGATCCCTTGAAATGTGTGTTTAGCAGGTTTGCTGGGAGCCCCAAGCCCCCACTCGCATACCTTGACACTGCCTGGTTGTCCTTTTATTTCAGCAACTGTGTCCGCTGTTCCCTTCAACTGGGAAGGATTTGGAGACGTTGACCTCCGTGGATGAACTCCTGTGCCACAGCGAGAATATGCTCTCAGATAGTTTTGAGTACTGGGGTTTGGAGGAACAGGAGACACCTGGGAAAGGGAGAAAGAGATATAAGAGGACAGGGGAGAAAGTAACTGCATGGTCAGGGACAGTTCCACATTGAAGAACAACACACAGTGTGTTCACTGCCAGTACTCTCACTGAATGAAACTCAGTTTATTCATGCCCTCACCTCTTTCTTAATTATTATGCTTATAAATTAAAACCCAGTAAACTTAAATCTTTGCACTACAACTCCAGGGCCAAGGGACTCTGGAAATTACAGTCTTACCTGCCCTCCCCACTTTTCCAAGTTCTGTTAAAAATAAAGAGGACCTTTTAACCACTCACTCTGCTTTCAGGCTGATGCCTTCCCTGAGTCTTCTGTCTGACTGGTGACCTTCTGTGTTTATCACATGTGCTCTATCACAAGCAGTTCCATTATCACCCTGTCCCAATACGGCATCTTCACTGATGTGGATTTGCATGTCTCACCCAGTAAGCAGTGTGAGCAACAAAATTGCTGCACAGGCTTAAAATACCTGCAACTTGGCCTTCACTTTGGACTCCACATTCTCATACTTCTGAGATTTCCAGAGGGCTTTCACAGGCTTGGGCTGGCTTAGCTCCCGAGCCTGCTCCTTCTCTCGGCATTTCCTCTGAATTTCCCTCATGCGCTTCAGATTCTCCTTCTCATGGTCCTTTTGCTCCTTGCCTATGAGGGAAAGAAAGCACATGGTTAACATATAAGCTGAAATGCTGGGACTGACACACTGCAGCTGTGTCTGTCTTGCAAATCAGCACTTACACTTTGGTGGCCACTTCTCGCAGAACAGCCCATCCAGCTGCAGCAGGGCACCCACTGAGCCGTTCTGACTCCTCTCCAGAACATCCTTGGCATTAGGTTTAATCCGTGGAGGAGGGACAGTGAGGTGAGTGCTATAGTATGTGGGATAGAGGCTAAACTCTGGTGGAATAGGACCAGGGAGCAGGTCAAGCTTCACATCATTTCCTTCTAGTCTCCCTCGGGCTAAAGATATAAAAAGAGAGTTAAAAACAACCATAGCTGTGGGGCAAATTTAGAACTCTGCATACAGAGGATTTCTGACACCCTCAATTAAAATTATCAGATACACTGGAGAAAAGCCTGTATCTGAGATCCTGGATAGGTGCTACCAGTCAAAGGAGACCTGGACTGGGAAAAATATTGGCCTGCAAATGTTTTTGCATTGTGACACCCCTAAGTCCTAGAGCCAACATAAGGTGGCTTAACAACATCTGCAGGGCCAACACTTCCTCCAGCCCTGAAACAGACAAAACTAGTCTAACCATGTTGGGGGGTTAAATTCAGACAAGGGGCCAAATTCATTTCCAAAGTTCTTGGGGGCAGCATTCCACTGGTGATTATAACCAAAGGCAAAATGAAAGGACCAAAAATTCCAGACTGTACAAAGTTGGAGATCTATGAAACAATTATGTCATAAGGAAGTAGGTGTTGCTTTACAGGGAAGTCCAGAGGGCCAGATTAGGATTGCAGTGCTTTATTTATCTTGAGGGCAAGGGGTTCCCCAATATTGATGTAGAAGGCAGCTTGCAAAAGGCCTCTTTTTCCAAAGGGACAAAAGTGTGGTCACATGACTCTAGCTCTTTTCCTGTTCCACCATAACCTGTGATATAAAGAATTCTCCTAAAGCAGTGATGAGCAGCTCCTGACACTATTTAATTTTTTGTTATTTATATCCAGCCTTTCTTTTAAAAAACCAGTGCCTGGGACAGATAAAATTATTTTTTAAATTGCTAAGTTTTAACATAATTATAATTTAACACAGCCATTGAAGCACATCACTTAGACATATTTAAAATTATTGTTACGTGCTGTCGAGTCAGAACTCACTTATAGCAACCCTAGAAGGGCTTTCAAGGTGAGATATTTAAGGAGTTCCACGCCCCCAATGAGTTTCCATAGCTGAATGAAGATTCAAACCCAGTCCTCCTGAGTTCTAGTCTGTCACTTTATCCACTACACCACACTGGGTAGCCTATATTAAAAATACACTAATTAAAAAAGGAATAAACAGCATCCACAGTTGAAAACTACTTCTGTGGCAAGAGACCCCAGTAACCAAAGCTTGGTGTAGTGGATAAAGTAAAAAAAGGTTTTTGCCCATTAATGGATGGACAATAAAGATAAAGCTAGCCTGGCCTAGTTTTATCTGGCTTGGCCTAGCCTGGCAGGGAGTTTTGGAGCTTGCGAATGACCACAGCCAAATCTCCTACTACAGTGGTGCGGAAAAGGCAGAATAGGAAGTTTGGAGAAGTTACTTTTCAGCCTACAACCTGCAGAATTCCCTTGCTTTAAAGGGAGGAGCAAGACGTAAAGAGAACATCAGCAAAGGGGCAGCCCTGTTTCTTTTTTTTTCTGGTCTTCCTGTCTTCCTATCCATCCAAATGTACTTTCTCCCACAAAATAACCAGTAATAGCACTGAAATCATTAAACACACTCACCTGATAGGCAGCCTCTGTAATAATGTGGGCAAACGGTAGGGTCTGGGGGAATGGGCCCCGTGATCTTGGATGGCCCCTCTGACATCTCAGCCTGAGCTCTAGGCCAGCAACCAGAAACTGGAATGTTTTTCTTTCCTTACACTTGGCACACCAAAAAGTATTCCCCTTTCTATTGATGAAACATCACAAATGTATTCGGAGGAGCACAGATCTGTAGACAACCTGTCAGAGGGGAAGAAAACATTAATTTAAAGCATTGGTAACTCATGGATGTTAACATGAAGCCACAAACTTGCACACGGGATTGCTGTATAAAACACAAGTGCAGGATTCCAGCATCTATTTTGCTTTCTACTAGAACCACAAGATCCAACAAGTGGAGTTTGTGCTACGAGAGCTCGTAAAGACTTATTGACCCTCAGAATTTGTTTTGCTTATCAAAAAGCACAGTCCTTTCACACAGAAATCCACATCTGATTTGGCTGCCCCAAGCTTTCTTCATTCAACAGTACCTTGTATTTCAGACTTTGGGGTAGGGGAAAGGAGTCATTGTGATTGTTGTTACATAATTAGAAGTCAGGTTCCCATAGCCTCCAATCCTTGCTCCACAACTACTGCCATCCACTTCCTTTCAACGCTGTGGAATTTCCCTTGAAAAACTCTCACAGAACATTTTAAACATAATACTATGAGGGTTCAAATTTTACCTCCTCTGGTTTCAACAAAGACACTGGGGACACTGGCTTTAGAAAATCATAACTATGTTTTATTGGAACATCTAACAGCAAGTCCGTATGCTCAAACTCAACTTCTGCATTGTCTCTTGTCGTCAATGGGTCCAACGAGGGCATCCAAATGTCTTTATTAAAGAGGTTACAATTTGAGTCATTCCAAGGTCCCTTCGCAAACGGGTTACTGCTTTCCATCTCAGCAGCTCCTGCCTCAGGATTTAATAACGGGGTAGTCTCTTCATCTCACCCCCTCCAACTCATAAGGGTCTTCCTCTCCTCAAAGAGGGGCCCACGGTCCATCAGGCATCCCCTCTGCTGGTTGTCCTCCAGACGCCATAACCGACATTCCTTTTCCTGCCTTTCTACCGCCGCCTTCTCTTCCCTGAGCCGTCTACGCCACTCTCTGGCTTCCGACTCACCTCAGTAGGAAGGACGCGGTGGCAGCCCCCTTCTCCGTCTGTAAACAGCTTTTTCCCTAGGGACCCGCACCTTCTGCCATTTTCCCATCCATGGGTCTTCTACCCATATCATTTCCCAACCCCCCAGTATTACGTCCACCTCCCCTTTTATATCTACCATTCCCGCCTCTACGAGGGACCTCCCTCTTTCTCCTCTACCCGCCAAGTCACTCCCAGTCTGAGTGGCCACTGTCATCTTTGACAGTTCCTGCTCGAATTCCCGGGTATCAACTCCCCGCTGTATAGTCTCGACGGGTGGTGTAGGCGGGTCTGTCTGCGCCTCTTGTTCCTTTTTGAGGGAGGACGACACCCCGTTGAGAGCTTCTACCCTCTTGCCTCGCATCTCACAAATACATCCCACTTACCTAACAAAGACAATATGAGGCAGATCACCACTGTCTTGCAGAGAAGAAGGAGATGGTTGGCTGGTGTCCAGAGCTAAATAAAAACTGTTTACTCTAAACTGTAAACCAAGGGCAACAATGAGATAGCAACAGAAGGCCAAACACCTTCCTCACACTTTTCTTAGGTGGAAGGAAAAAGGCAGTTAACAAGGCACTCTTGGCCTCATGCCAGCCACAGTACTGTGTTTATTCTGTTAACCTGAAAGGTTGTTTGTTAAGAGCAAAGTACAAAATAATGATTTAAAAGACTACTTTTCCCTACATAGGCAAAGAATAATCAGATTCTAAAAGCTACTGCCCAATCTTCCTACTGTGCCACTAATAAAACGTGTTTGAATGAATACTTTTAAATCACCTAGCCCAGTGGTTCCCAGTCTTGAGTACCCAGATGTTCTTGGACTACAACTCTCAAAAATACTGTCCAGCACAATTAGTGGCGAAAGCTTCTCGGAATTTCAGTACAAGAACATCTGGGATGCAAGGTTGGGAACCACTCATCTAGCCCTAAAATTGAACCTTTTCTAATTCCAGAACAAGCTTTACTAATCAAATCTTAAATCTAACCTAGCATATTTTGTGTGTGTTTTGAAACACATAAAATAACTGGAGCAGCATTTGTGGACTTAACAGCAGCATATGATAATGTCCACCATAAATTGCTGCTCAAAAATCTCTACCTTCTTACTAAAGATTGTGGACTAACAGAACTGATTGCTGTTCTACTTCAAAACCAAAGGTTCTTTGTTGAATTTTTAAGTAGGCACTGTCACTGAGGAAATAAAGGAACTGTCTCCCATAAGGTTTTGTCCTGGTACCATTACTGTACTTTTTAACATTTATACAAATGATCAGCCAATGTTCCTGTATTCAAAAAGTTTCAGCTATGTGGATCTTGCCTTGACAATCCAGAAGGAAACTTTTGAGGCATCAAGCACAGCTAACTTTTGCATTAAAATATATTTCCTTATACTACAAAAACAACCAGCTGAAACCAAATCCTTTTTTAAAAACAGGTCTATGCCTTCCACTTAAAGAACAGAGAAACGGAGAGGAAGCTCCAAGTTAGCTTAGAAGGCAAGATTTTGGAACATCGCTTAATCCAAAATATTTGAATGTCATCCTGAATCAAACACTGACCTACAAAAACCACTGTTTCCAAACAGAAAGTTGTTAGCAGAAATAACATACAGTACCTAGGAAACTGTTTGAGTCAACTGGAACTGCACTCCCACAAAAAATAAGAATAGCTTTGTCCATGTGCTACTCCAGAGAAGAATATGCTAGTGCTGTATGTTATGAATAAGCACATACCAAACAAGTGAGTGTAGGTCTTAATGAATCGTGCAGGATTATTACTGGCTCCCTAAAACCTACCCCCACAAACACTGAAATAGTCTATTATTTGGCTGTCACTGCCCCTCTGGAAGTATACCGAGAAGTGGTAGCAAATAATTAAATAAGGTAATTCAGCACCAAATACATCCACTTAATGGGCACCAACCTAGACAACAGCTAAAGTCAAGGATAGGTTTTCTGCACACATATAAATATTAAACCAGAAGAGACTAGGCTGAATTTATAGAGATTAAAAAACAATACACCTTGCTGAATAGATGAATGTCAAAGAGTGTCTTCCACCAGGATAAAATTCTGACTGGATGATCTAGAAGCCATTAATAGACTTCAAAGCAAAGTAGGAAGATGCTGGATGATCTAGAAGCCATTAATACACTTCAAAGCAAAGTAGGAAGATTAAAGATCATCAAGTAAAATGGGGCTATTTGGGTACAGGACAAATTTTCTGTGAATGTGGAAAAATTTGATCAATGCAGCATTTTTGTACATGCAATTTATGCCCCATCACATGTATTAAAGAAGCTCTAGAAAATGGCTGAGATAGCACTACTGTATTACACTATTATCTACCAAACAGATTTTTACTTTTGCCTCTTTCTCCTTTGATTCTTTTCCTTCTCTTTCTTCCATGATCAATTCTTCCCTTTCTAGTACTTCTCTCTCCCTTTTCTCTTCCTCTTTCTCTGAGGTTTCTATTTGAGGGGACGGCTCACTCTGTTCTTTTTCTCTCTCTCCTATTTCTCCTTCACAGTCCATAATTTTAAATTGTGTAACACTGTGATGCAAATAAAAGAAAGCAATTTGGAAAAGGAACATTTAAAAGGTCTTACTGTACAGGTCAATTACTAGAGACATGGTGATGTTATTTATTTATTTAAAATAATTTTACTCCACCTTTCTCCTTAAAAGTGACTACTTGGCATCAGTAGAAGACAATGTTGAAAAGCTAAAAACAGTAAGTATACTGTACATCTATTACAAAATAATCAAATACTGCTTTAAGAAATGGTAAACAAAAACAACACCAAAACACATTCAGAGCAGCAAGGCACAACAATCCATTAAAAACCTCACTCTGACAACAAGTCACTTTTTAGGTGATCAGGAGGTGATTCTTGTAGTGTCATTGAATCGGAAGTGTTGGAATTGGAAAACTGTACAGGCAACGGTGAGGAGGTTTGTCAGTATCAAGAAGCCGATGTGTCGGGAGGAGCCTCTGGCAAGTGGCGCTTGGAACTTGCAGTACCATGCTTTGATGGTACCAATTGAGTATGTTGGCGTGATGTGAGACATGTGTAGGCTTTGGTATTGTCTATGGATACAGGTGAGGGCCCAGTATAAGTCGTGGTAACCTGTAAAGAGGATGATTGAACTTGTGAGAGTGTAGCCAATTCAGCAGATGGTAAGGAAACTTTAGTTGATGGTCTTGGTTTCTTCAGAACTGAAAGCGGCTGAACTAAGGTATCTTGAGTATGGTGTCATTTATGAGCCTTGCATGGTTTCGGTACCAAGGAGGCGGAAGATGAACAATATCATCCTCAGATGACTGGTGGTAGCCATGCCTCAGATGATATCGAGGAGGTGATGGAGAGTCTGAAGCACCAGGAGGATAGTAATACGCATATCAAAGACACTTGGGTTAGACATAATGCCCAGCATCGGTCTGCCGGTATCAGTATGAGCAATGTTGGTACTGCTTGGCTGGAGGATCATAATAAACAGGAGGCTCATAGACAGTGACTCATTTAAGCTGATGGTGTCGAGCCTGAGAGTCATGTGATAGCGACAGGCCTGAATGTGTCGGAAGCTGTGAATGTCCAGTATCGGATCGGCCAGTGTCCGGTGTATGGTGGAGTTTCGCCTTCCACTTACGCAGGGGTAACAGATCAGCAGGGATAGATGCTGAATCCGATTCACACACGGATACAGAGCAACCCATAGACTTGGGGCTCAAACAAGCGGAATACGGGAGCTGAGGTATCTGTCCACGATGGAGACTGAGCCAAAAGAGGAGAGGGTGGTTGACCATCTGGAGGTGGGATGGAATCACGGTCAGAATCAAGATCTATGATAGGTTGATCCTTGGTAGTGAGTTGTTGAGCAGGAGCTTGGGGATCATTAGAAGACTTTTTCAGTTTCTTAGGTTTGGAATGGACTGGTTTCGAAGTCCTGAGGACTTTGCTTTAGAAAATTTCAATTTAGGTTTGGAAGTTGTCAGTAATGGAGAAGTAGTGGTAATGTCAGTAGGGAGCAGAGGTGGCTGTGAACCTTGTGATTCGTTCATGGTAGATGGTGGACGTAGGGATCGCTCCCACAGAAAAGACAGTCACTGACGATGGAGTTTGAGGGCTTGTTTTGTTAAGTTTTTACAAAAATGACAAGAAGCTGGTTGATGAGATTCTCTCAGGCAAAATAAGCAAGAGTCATGGCCATCAGAAAGAGGCATCTTATTCGGGCACAAAGTGCACCTCTTAAATGGCCCTGCGGGTGCCATAAAAGGCAGGAGAGGGTGTGGGGTGGGGTGACGGTAGAAGAAGGGGGAAACAGATCAAAAGTTTCTCACAATTTGAAGTATTTTACTTTTTCTTCTATATAGGGCAAAAATTCTATTTTTTACTCTTTTTTGTTTTAAGTATTAAAGAAACAGTTGTGAACAGAGAGCTCGTCATATGATGAGACCTCAGAAGCGGCAAAAAGGAACTGAGGCAATCGCCAGGACGGGTGGACCATGTGTGCTAGGGGGGTGGTCCTGGCAAACTCATGTTTGGAGACCTCTGTGCAAGCGCAGATTAACCCATTATTGTGCATTCACAGAGAACCACAAAGAAGAATAAACAGTTTATCAGCAAAGAAAACAATGCACACAAGCACAGCTAACTGACAAGAAAAGGAAGACATTTAGCCCAAACTCAAGCTGTGATAAGAAATGGACTCTGATGGGAATAAAATACTCAGGTTCCTACATTTTAGTTTTTGAAATAAAACATATACAGTGGGGTCTTGACTTGAGAACTTAATCCGTATTGGAAGGCGGTTCTCAAGTCAAAAAGTCTGTAAGTCAAGTCTCCATTGACCTACAGTGCATTAAAAACCGATTAATCCCGTAACAGGCCGTTTTTGTGCCATTTTGGTTTTTTTCTGGTCTGTGAGTCAATTCTCAGGCTGCAAGTCAAACCTAAATTTTGCGGCCAGAGAAGTTTGTAACTCAAAAAGTCTGTAAGTCAAGCCGTCTGTAAGTCAAGGGTCCACTGTACAGTGGTACCTCGACTTACGAACATCTCCACTTGCAAACATTTTGAGTTACGAACGGCTCCGTTTGCAAAATGTTGCTTTGACTTGCGAACGGAGCCTCGACTTACAAATGAAAAAAACTTTCCTGCTCTTTTTTTGACCTAAGTTCATTTTAGGTCAAAAGAAGAAGAAGAAAATTCTCCCCCTAGTGGTAGAGTACAGATTAACCACCTTTGCATTAGTTCCTATGGGAACTAATGCCTCTACTTACAAACAGCGCCTCAACACATGAACGAAAAACAGCCTGAACAGATTAAATGGTTTTCAATGCATTCCTATGGGAAATCTTGCGTTCCAATACGGATTAAGTTTGTACAGGTACCACTGTATCATTGTTACATGTTAACACTAACACCACACCTGATCTATCTTTTCAACCAGGAATAGGTTTACTTTACTTTTTTCCTCCAGTCACTTTTTTAGCACTATCCCAAAAGCAGAGCCCATTCCCTTCAGCACACTACAGAAGTCACCTTGCAGTACAGCTAGGGCAAGACTTTGGGACAGATGCTCAAGACATCATACAGGATTTCCCAGTACAGCAGCTAGGTGAGCTTACTGGATGTGGGGGCAAGAAAATAATACCCACTGCCATTTAAAAATCTCTCCCAAGACCATTCAGTGTTATCTTTAAAGAGGGGTGGGTAAGCTGTGGCCCATCAAATATTGTTGACTGTCTCGAGCTTGGCCAGTGGGGGCAACTGTGAAATATCCTCCCCTTGGAGGCTCTACACCAATGTTGGCATTATTTCAGCACCAGGTCAAAAATTCTTATTTATTAAATTATTTATGTCTTTAGGGTTGAGGGCCGTGGCTTGTGCAGGTTTTAATCTTTTAAGTAGCACACTTTACTAATTGTTTTAAATTGATTTCATTTTAAATGGTTCTGAACTTCATTCATTCATTCAATTTCTATGCCATCCATCTGGCTACCAAGGCCACTCTGGGCAGTTCACTCCATAATAAAATAACACTTTAAATAAATTCACAAAACATATATTTTTTTATTTAGGCATCCTTCAGTCTTGAGAGACTATGGTAACAATACAAGAAATCAAATGTCAGTCAACTTAAACTAAGAAAAAGACAACATGAAAACAATCAATAAAGACAAGGTGGTGGAGCAGAGATAACTTCAGCACTGAAAGCACCATTGTGCTCTGTCGATGTAATATCTGGAGGAAAGCCTGTCTAAACAGCCATGTTTTCAAATATCTCTTAAAAATTCCCAGTGAATGGGGCCAGGACTATTTTGGTCAGAAGTTTATTCCAAAGGTGGGCAGCAGCTACTGAGAAGGCCTGGTTTCTGTTTTTCTCTTTCCAGGCCTCTCTCAGGTCAATGTTCTCAATTGCCCAGCCTGAGAATATCAAGTAGATTAAGCAGATCTCACTGGAAGATATTCTACCAGGTATGGAGGTCCCAAACTGTTTAGAGCCTTGTATGACAATCACCTTGAAGCTGGCACGGAAATTAACATCTCATGCATTTATTTTATATGGCCCTGGAACCCCGAGATCCTATGATATACAGTACTACATTATGTGCCCTCAAGTCAGAACCAACTTAGAGCAACCCAATGCTCTTGTAAACTCAAGACGGTGGTTTCCATTAGGGAGTCAAACCATCTTGTATTTGGGCTTCCTCTTTTCTTTCTCAGCATTTTCATTATATGCCCAAAGCAGGACAGCCTCCGTTTCAACATTTTTGCCTGCAGAGATAGGTCAGGCTGCATTCGATCTAGGACCCACCTGTTGGTCTTTCTGGCAATCCAGGGTATCTGCAAAGTTCTCCTCCAGCACCACATTTCAAATGAATCTTTTTTTTCCCCTGTAAGCTTTCTTTACTTTCCAGTTTTCACATCCATTACATGGTGACCAGAAATACAAGAGTGGCAGTCATCTTGTTCTCCAGTGACAGATCCTTACACTTGGTTATCTTTTCTAATTCCTTCATTGTTCCCTTTCCAAGTCTCAATCTTTTTCTGATTTCTTGGCTGCACTCTCCATTTGGGTCGAAGGTTGAACCAAGGTATACAAAAATCTCTTAACTATTTCAATTTCTTCATTGTTATTTGACTCCCTGAAGCAGGTGTTGCCAACATTGCCCCCCCAGATATTCTAGGACCAACTCCCACATATCCTGGCTTAGTGGTGAAGGCTTCCGTGAGTTTTAGCCCAAGAACATCTGGTAGCCGGTGGTTGGGAACCATTGCCCTTCAAGGAAGCCACAGGCCGGAGTCTGTAGGCACTGAGACTGTACGGCTGTTGAGGACAGGAGACCGGTCACCCGTAGGCCAGCAGTGACTTGAGGGCACACAACAACTGGGCTTTCAAGGTACTGTAAGTGAGCAGGAGAGCTTTCCCACTCCCCAGTGAGTTTCAAACATAGGGCCTGCTGAGTCCTGGACCCTCATTTTATCCACTATCCTACACTAGGTAAATCTTGTGATAAACAGAGGGTTGCAAATACTTTAAATAAACAAACAAAACTAAACTGCACTCAGAAAACACAAAACGGCCATTTCAGCCCCGAAAAGTCCATGAAAAGCAACCCGTTTGTTCCTCACTTGCCTCAGGACCGACGCCCCCTCCCGCCCCCGTAATGGCTCCCCCCTCTCGCCCCGTCCGACAGCCGGGGAAGGGAAGGGAGAAGGCAGGGCTCGGCCGTTGGGCTCCCCGCTGTCTCTAGGCAACGGCTACTTCCTGTCAGGGGAAGCCGGGCCGGGAAAGAGGCCGCTGGGAAGGGGAGTTTTCTCGATCTTCCCACAAGAGGGAACCCCTGTGAGGTAAACCGCGTCCGTTGCTGTGTTGGCGCGACCCGTTCTCCCAGATCTCTCTCCTGTGCCCTCACCTGGTCGCGAAACCTGCCGCCACTGCGGGGATAGGTAGAAAGAAGGGAGGACGTGCCGCTTGCCCTCCTTGTGCCTGGAAGAGTAAACTCCGATCCAAAAACATCCTCACACGGAAACCAAGCTCTAAAGTGACACCGTGTTTTGTCTTTCCCCGTTTCCTTCTTTTAATTTGGGGCACAATCAAACGTCAGGAAAAAGCACGCTCCCAATCGTCCTGGAACGGGTTACTTTTTCGGGGATTATCTGGCTCAAAGGGGCCCTCCCCTCGGGGAAGGGCTCCAGCCTGGTCCTTAAAAAGCAGCAGCCCTTCTGCCGGACTAAAACGGCCCACCTCGGGCGCGGCTCGGACCCAATCTGGAGGGCTGTCCCCCCCCCCCACACACACACACACGAGTTACGGCTTGGAAAGAGGCTGGACTGGACTGCGCCGCAAGCGATTCAAAAACGGGCGGTGCGGCCGCTCTCTGTGCGATCACGCTCTCTGTTAACTGGGCTTGCATATTTTCCTGTGGAAATCTTTTGAAAAAGTCATCATTTCTGTTCCTGCTTCCAAATCCGTAAGCTACTGGTTAGCACTTGAAGAAGGGCCATCATCATAGGACCATGATGCAGCACCCATAAGTGGTTAGAATAAGATGGTGGAAGAGAGTCACACCAGTACAGTTGTTAAACTAGGAAAGTTAAAGACATGCTCTGTTCCAAGCCATTTGAAGCACCCTTACCGACCCACCAATGGTCAGAATGCTGAACAACTGGTAGTAAAGGAAAGCAGAGTGATAAGTGGACAAACTATGTTCCCTGTGAAAAGTCACCTGTGCTTCTAGATAATCATGGGCTTGGTGGGAAATCACATTGTCTTTTAATCAGCCAGATCAAACTGATAAAATTCATCTGGTTCAAGTCTTTTATATGAATGGCCCATTCATGGTATTACTAGTAATGAACAATGGTTCTTTCGAGATCATAACTCAGTCCCTGCATAATGTATATATTTGGAAATCATTACCTTTTCTCTTCCATTTACAAAAAGCCCAAATTAAGTGCATTAAAAATCACAATGCCTTAAAAGACCTACTGTATGTGTGTTGAGATGGATACATAGAGAAAAGGCCTCCTGCATCTTTGGAAGATAGCTAGCAAAGGTACAGGTGCTATGCTTTTTACTTCCTATGCCTCTGCATGTTCTCCCAAATGCATCTGCAAACAATATCAGAGGCAGAAAACTGAGTCCATGAAATATGTTCTATATACAGTGGTGTCTTGCAAGACGATGTTAATTCGTTCCGTGAAAAACTGTCTTGCGAAAACTCGTCTTGCGAAACGCAGTTCCCCATTGGAATGCATTGAAATCTATTTAATGCGTTCCAATGGAAAAATCGTTGTCTTGCAAAAATCGTCCATAGAAAACATCGTCTTGTGGAACGTGGTTCCCCATTGGAATGCATTGAAATCTATTTAATGCGTTCCAATAGGGAAAAATCGTTGTCTTGCAAAAATCGTCCATAGGAAACCATCGTCTTGTGAAGCGCAACAGCAATTTCAAAACCAATCGTCTTGCGGATTAATTGTCCCGTGAGGCAATCATCTAGCAAGGCACCACTGTACTTCAAATGTATATTGCTTGCTGTCAGCACATTCTGAAACTATTCTCCCAATTTGGTGAGGGAAGAACCCCAATCTTTTTTTTTCAATGTGTTTGCTTTAGGATTTCAGACTTTAATGATTTGTCCAGACAGTTAACACTCATGATCCAGTGGCAAGACGAGATGAGACAAACAGTGCTCACATTGACTGACTTAGCACAAAGTTTCCCAGGTTATTTAGCTCAGTTTGAAAGCAGAAAGAGCATCTGTCAATTTTAAGAGCAAATCTAAATGGGGGAGATACCATCCAGCCTGGATATGCCAATAATTCTTACGAACAGGAAGGGACAACTTCCATACTATAGTCATGCCTTCCTGCAACAAGGACCATAGCAGGAAATTATACCAGGCCAAGGTCTTTCTTCCAGAAAATTTCAGGACCTTGAGCAATATTTCTGTTAGACTGATTCTGTATTTCCGATTTGTTACTGGTGCTGAAAACATTCTACCTACAAGACACATGCCACCCTCACTTCCTAGTAGAAACCATATGTTCCTATCAAATTGCTGCCTGCTGGCATTTTCTTGAACATTTGTTTGCCATACTTTTTGTACTCACAGAGTGAGTACAGAGTGAGAAAAGAGTGATGTGAGAGAGCACATTAGCAAAGAGAAAACAGAAAATGAGAGAACACTTGCATAGCACTGTAAAATTCAAGAAATCTTAGACAATGTGGCTTCAGGCAAGACTCAGCCTGTTAACCCCAGCACTCCACCCCATTCACACTTGCAGCATGGGCATAAGACATGGGATCTGCCACAAAATGTTGCCGTGTGGAGCACTGCTATGTAGAAGTATAGCCAACTAGCTATTTTCCCCCTCAAAATATTCCATTTGATTTCTCCCCAACCCTTTCTTTTTTGCCACCAAAGTTTAACATCCACAGACTCACATAATGATTAATTGTATCAAAGTGGAATAGAAATATTCTTTAAGTGGTTAAAAAAACAACAACAGAATGTCCACAGGGAAAAGCTAATGACGTGTGCTGTCTGTTTTTCTTGTTGTTGCAATAGTGAACCAGGAAAATGTACTGTCAGGGATGCTATCTTTAAATTCCATGATGATGCTCTGATTTGTTAATTATAGTAGTCATTGTTTTACAGTGTTTTTCAGATACTATTTTATAATTACTGCATGTTTTCTCATTATAATTTTACTTTTTAGTAATTACTGTTGCAAATTTGTTGCATTACATATTTTCAAATGTGCTTTGATTGCAAGCAATGAAGTTTATCTTGACCAGACTGGACCCTTTTTTTAGCCTAGCGTACTGCACAGAGCACAATGCTCAGCCAGTGCCCCTTTAGTGTGAAATACAGAAAAGGTGCCCACCTAGCCCTAGATAGCCTGCCTGCCTGCCAAACCTCATCTAAAGGCAAGGTTTTTTTCTGAGCGATACCATTTCTAATCTCCTTCCCAGGCAATGGCCAGCTCTGCAAAGAGCCTTAATGAGAAGAAGTCTGGAGGGAAGGTGGCACCTGCCCACTTCCTCTTCCAGTTGGCTGCAGCTTTGGACAACCCCACCATCAAATCACTAGAGGTAAAGGATGAGTGCTATTTATGGAAGTCTGAGAAGGAAGAATACAACCATGTCAGCTAATTACAGCAGCAATGGCAAGAAGTTATCACAGACACATTTCAGTTCAGGACAAAAAGGTGGGATCCAGAATACCAGCAGCTGTTAGCTTAAGGCTCTTATTGCCTCAGGCAATGCCACTATCAAAGCTAGGAAACCACCCAGTAGTGGGGAGAGGTGTGTCTAACTGGAAAGACTGAATCTCAATTTGGCATTTTAGGAGGGACAGAGCTGACCCCAGATGGTAGAGTTCCTTATACCTCATTTCCACACAGCAAGGGCGTAATTTCACAGGATTCTCAAGATGGGAGTAGTCAAAAGGGAATCTTGCTGCAGAAATAGCTGGAGAGGAGCCAACTGCCTTTTCTCAACGTTTTTGGAAGTTACATCTGTATTGTGTTTTTTGTAGAGATGGCTTCAGGCCAGGAGTAGCAAAATATAGAAGGTTGCAGGTCTGGCCAAAGACATTTTGCTGCCTTAGACAAAGTGGTAAGCTCTGCTAGCCACCCCCACAATGGCTAGTAAAGATGCATAGTACCAATCCAGCCAAGGTATTTTGGCATAATCGTAGGATCTGTACTGGGCTCCCTCCATAAATATTTTTTATTTATTGCTTCTCTCATCCTACATCTTTGAGCAGAAATGCACTATAACTTCAGGAGATGCAGCAAATTATTTCCTAGCCTTTACTACAATGTTTGAATTAAACATTGCAAAAGTCTCCATTTAAACTGACCCACTTCCCAAGCTCATTGCCATTTAGTCAATTAGTCGTGTCTGACTCTTCGTGACCCCATGGACCAGAGCACGCCAGTCCCTCCTATCTTCCACTGCCTCGTGGAGTTTGGTCAAATTCATGTTGGTAGCTTCGATGACACTGTCCATCCATCTCATCCTCGGTCATCCCCTTCTCCTCTTTCCTTCACACTTTCCTTTAGAATTGATAGGTTTGTTCTCCTTGCAGTCCAGGGGACACTCAAGAGCCTCCTCCAGCACCACAATTCAAAGGCATCAATTCTTCGGTGGTCAGTTTTCTTTATGGTCCAGCTCTCACTTCCATACATCACTACAGGAAAAACCATAGCTTTGACTGTCGGGACTTTTGTTGGCAAGGTGATGTCTCTGCTTTTTAAGATGCTATCTAGGTTTATTTTTAGGGATGTGGTGGCGCTGCGGGCTAAACCGCAGAAGCCTGTGCTGCAGGGTCAGAAGACCAAGCAGTCGTAAGATCGAATCCACGTGACGGAGTGTGCTCCCGTTGCTTTGTCCCAGCTCCCGCCAACCTAGTGGTTCGAAAGCATGTAAATGCAAGTAGATAAATAGGGACCACTTCGGTGGGAAGGTAACAGCATTCCGTGTCTAAGTCGCACTGGCCATGTGACCACGGAAGATT